AATCTGTTTGAACTCATGTGGGTGCATAAATAGCAATTTGTTCTTTAGAAGAAATATTGTTAACCATTAAAGTTATTGGTCTGTCTTTTTTAATTTATGGGATGGTGAAAGGTGTTTTTACACTGCTTGCTATGTTTGCTAGCAAAAGTTAAAAAGTCCTATTAAAAGTCAAAGTATGTCTTATTAATTTTATATGCTGTGAGTGTATAAGCAGATCCTGGAGTGAGCAAGAGCTTCCAAAGTCTGTTGTTTCTCATTTTGATATTGTTTTCTTAGAAGCTTTCCGCAACAGTTATTTAATTATATTTATAATAGAGTGGGGTAGTATTTTGATGATAAGTTCTACTATGATCAGATTAGGTGGCACTGATTTCTTGAACCTATTCTTAGCTAACTCCTTGACAAAACGTAAAAACCAGTCCTGAAAGATTTCAATCAGGTACAGCAGTAACATAATTTTAAATGAGACCTTTATGGTTTTATCACTGGTAGCCCCAGCATGGCTTTTTTTCAATATGGCTTTTAAATTCTCATTGGATGTTCAACATTGTCATTTTCTAATGTGAGTCCATGAAATCTTTTTCCTGTTGGAGTGAGGAACTTAGAATCAAACTGTCCAAAGCAGGATCCAGAGAAGGAGAGCAGCAGGGCTACGGTGTCAGGGAATCAGTAAGGGCAGTAGTGTTGCCTAGCATCATTAGGATGGAAACAGAAGGTTGGCTTGGTCATCTTGGAATAAAGGAATAAAGGTGAAGGAACTGCAGGTATGCAGGTGAAGGTCAAAGACACTGTAGAGGTAGGACAGAATGGAGGATATTAGGATAAGTGTGGAAGAGAATTATGGTTTTGAGAACACATTGTAAGTGCCCTGAGGTGAGCAGATGGACCAGGAGGGGAAGATCGAGCCCCCAGCAGGAGCATCTAAGGAAGGTTGTGAAGAAAACACTCTTGAGATTTTGATGAAAGTGGAGGACAGACAAAGGATGGGAAAGACAATTTTAATATGCTGAAGAAAAGGAATACACAGAAGTCAAAAGTAAAAAATGCTAACAAGCAGAAATAGAACTGAGAGAGCAGGAGAATAATGATGGAGTCCAGTGGTGTGACTAACTCTGAGAATTGAAGCCCAGTGAGCAGGAAAGTAGTTCCTATCTGTCAAGCAGTCTGTTAAGGGGGTCTGAGAAACTCACATTGGCCATAAATGCAGCAAGGTTGTTGAGTTGGGTATAATCTAAAGATCATAATAGATTTTCTGGAGTGCACTTAAGGCAAGAGAGGCATACCCAGCAGGATTCAGCTCTGTGAGACCATTGCAGGATATGGGCAAGGTGCATATCCACCAGTTCTGCTGAGCACCACCAGTAGCATCACTTTAGTTAATAACAGTTCAATAGAACTTTCTTTCTGGAATCTATAGCAGACTGGGAGTAGGTTACGTCTCTGTTGGCCAAACAAGCATCAGTGCTGGGATTTAGGTTCTCTTGCTGCCCAGCTGTATGTTTTGGACTCTCAATATATACTGATTATATTGTGATTATGGTAACTGGTAGAGGGATATTCAGGAGCTCTACACACTTTTTTGTTTTTTTCCAAAGCTTAACATGGATAAGAGCTTTCATTCGCTGGTAGAGAATGTAGATGTGGACCTCCACCCCTTCTTGTTGGATGGCACTGGGGGTATTGGAGGGAGAGTGGTAGCAGCAGACTTGTTGGGTTGTTGGTGCTGGCTGCTTCCAGTGAGCCGTTATCAAATGTAAAAAACGTGTTCTAGAATGAGCCATTGGAATGGCCTGTATGGGCTGTGAAAGAGCATACTGCTCCTGCCCAGGGATGATAGCAGGCAAGGCCCAGTACACATCAACAGCCCATTCAGCCATTGTTTTTCTGAGGTCCATTCAGGGATTCGGGGACGTCTGTGTGGCGCTGGCCATCTGGTTTGTAAGCCACTGATCTGTGTATTGTTGCATCGAAGTGCTGTCCTGTAACTTGACATTTTTCTGTTCCTGCTGGACACTTTCTGACTAAATCTATCTAAAGATAATTTACAGGATACCAGACACTTGCTGCAAGCATGGAGTGATGGAGGATTCCCCCTGGATTTGGTTCCCAAATAGCTTCCTCTTGTCTATCACCAGCTGATCACCACTGGAGTCACCTGTGTGTATCACGTGCTGAATATACAGAGCTGTAGTGTTGAGGATGTGGAAACAGCAACGGACTTGTGCCCTTTTTAATACTTTGAACTTTTCCTGAAGTGTCAGCACAAAAAGTGATGAAGATGTTTGAAGGACACTTGCTCCCTCATATAAGTGACCTTTTCAGCACCTGTTCCATCCCAGATTCCTCTGGGATCTTCCTGACACTCACATGCCTGAGTAATGTTGCTCTGGACAACTGTGAACACTTGTTAGTAGGCCCAACATTAGAAACAGTTACAGCTTCTAGCACACTCTGTAGGTAGAAACTTGGGGCTCTGAAAGGATGTACAGGCCAGCTGTAAAACCCTATATCAAATGCAACTGACTTAGAGAATTGGGCATAAGTAGTTGTGAAATTTACCAACTACTGATAGATCAACACAGCTCTCAACAACAGCTGTCCAAAAAAATTGAATAACAAATGGAATCAAACACAGCAACAAAATAAAAAAATAAAAATAAAGATGATCAAAAGGGGCTTCAAATCACTTGAAATGTTAAAATATAGATTGTGCATCAGTTTATATCCAATACAAAAATGAACTCATTGATGCAGATATTAAGGATGTAATGACATCCTGAAATTCAGGATGTACAATGTGAGAGTGATAAAAATCTGCTCAATTTAGTGCAGTTTGTGAGAGGGTTGTCATGCCAACGCCCTGTGAAGTGTCGTAAGCTTTTTAAAAGCAGCTGGTTTAGTGATTAGGATGGTGAGACAGTGAAATGCAATGAAGTGATGATGAATAACTCATTTTAAGAACTACCCTTTTCTTTGTTCATTTATTCAAACTTCAAAGCCTTATGCACTAATGTTAGAATTGTCCCCAGGGGCCTTTATTAGGAGGAGAATATCCACTTAATATCCTAGTATATGGAGCAAAGTTCCTGCCATAGAATAACATTAGCTTTATAGTGCTGAATTATTTAGTATCTGTGTGGTTCTGCATATTGAACTTAACCAGCACACTGTGCATTTTTTAAATACTCGACATTGGATAAGATGGTACTTGTGTTAATATTAAATTTAACATTGGGACATGGTAACATGGTAGTTAGCACAGCTGCTTCTCTTAGCTCTTGGCTAAAGAATTTAAATCCAGCTTAGTATACCTTTTTGTTGAGTTTGCACATTTTCTTGTATTCATGTGGGTTTTTATTGGTGCTCTGGATTCTACTAAGCTTCAAAAGATATACTGGCTATGTTTAATGGGGTCCATTAACTGTCTCTGTTTCTGTGCCATTCTCTGCACTGGTATCCTAGCCAGGATGAAGTCAGTTTGTTGTGACTCTTACCAGGAACAAGCAATTTTGTGAAGATATATCAAGATATATAATAAGCACCCAGTTCTCTTTAGCAATTACTAGCTCTGTAAATCATTTTTTAGTTGTCAGTGTTAGCTCTCCTTTACAATATTTGCGCAATCCATGACTTCCCAGTCTTCAGACTTCTCGTGAAGTGCTTTCTGTTGTGACTATATTTGCCTATCCCACTGCTTTTGTATCATCTTTAAAATAATGAGTTACAGTACATATCCATATTTGAATCAAATTAATTTATGTAAATTGGATGTGCACTCATAGCTATGGTTTAAATTTGCCTATTACACTCTGAAAAAGTGATTATTCATATTCCTTAGCCAGTTTTCAATTCATGTGAACCCAGTATATTCCTTTGGATTCATGTAGCTTTAAGTTGGATGATATACCTTTTATGAGGCATCTACTTCATACTGTCGCTTTCTGGAAATCTAAATATATAATGTTCTATACATCCATATCAACTCCATGTTGCTTTTTCTAAGAATTCTAATTACTCAAACTAGACCTTTCTTTTATTAATTATTATAAAATTATATTGTTGTGCAAGTATCCTTCTTCTAGTTAAACTCTCATGTTCATTTCCAAAAGTTCGCCAGTAACAGACGAAAAGCTGGTAAGTACAGTATACTGTATATTCTTGGTTCAGTTTTGTCTCTGTGCTAGGCGTCCATCTAAATAGGTGGCTCAAGAGGCCTGAGCAGATGGAAATCACAATGGTCAACCGGATGTGTAACAGATACTTCATTAACACTCATACTTGTTCTACACCAACTGCCACCATGAGTCCCTTTATATACCATACCAGTCAAATTTAACCACGTGTAAAAATGTGTCTTTTGACCAATTAACTAATTTATCAATGTACAGACAAAAGAGGTCTTAACAGCCCCTAGTTGCAGATCAGTTTCAACTAAGATCCACACTCCCCTTTATGAAGTGGTCATAAATCTGCAGTTCTCCAATATGTGATTGCAGCTCCCATCTTCATTTTAAATATCCTGGTTAGTATGAATAACATTTCCCTAAGTATCATTTTCCTGTATCATGCCCTGAGGTAATGGTGATAGTTTTAAGCTGCCGCCCAACAACTTATGTAATACCAGACTTAGTGTCAGTTACTGTATATTATGTTTAATTTGTCAGTACTAATGGAGCTCTTTCTATACGCTGGGACATGTTGTTGACTTCTTTCGTAAAAACTTGTTTTTATCTATAGTCCTGCCCTACCACCACGTCTATCTAGCCTGTATTCCTGAAAAAGTGTTCATTTTGTACACACACAGTACTTGTCATCTTCCCTAGACAAACTGTATTTCAATACTTCCAAAACCGTAATGTTAATTTTTAATGCATTAGCCTCAGTAAGGTTCATTAGTCACTGGTAGTTACATACTATAGTTGCTTACTACACTAGATAAGTAAAATGAACAGAGTAAATATTTTAAATGGCAGAAGAGAAGAAGAGAAATGGGGACTTACTTGGACTGTGGTGGAAACAGATAAAGAGACCAGCTGTTTCTGTGTCGACAGCATTCTGGCTGATGTTTTTCACACCACCTTTTAATTCTAGCTAGGCGGCCCTGGGAAGACAGGAACAAAAGTAACACATTCTGAATATTACAGCTGTGGCACTAGAGGTCAAAAAGGCATTAAATGGCTTCTGAAGAGCTAAAACTGGAAGTGTCTCTACCAAGGGTTCTCTTGTCTTTTAACACAAAACCTGGGCTATTATTACTTAGCTCTGACCAGGATAATCCCTAAGGCGAGTACAATAGATAAATTTTGTTTTTATCTACCAGTAATCCAGTAACCCAAGTGATTAGCTATGTCCTTGTGAGTCCACATGACAGTCTTCAGCCCTCTTAAATTAAATTCACATTTCCAGATTTACTTACAAGCTCAGTGCATCCCAGGCCAGGATAAGATATTATCAATGAATTAGGACTGGTTTCCAAAAAAACAGGCAGCGCGTTTGACTAATGTGATATACAGTATAAAAGAGTAGACATGTTCTCTTAAGCCAGTAAGACCACTTCTCTTAAAGTAATCTTTATAAACATCCTTTGTGGTTCAAGGGTCAGAAATTAGTCATGAAGTTGGCTCCTGTGCTGTATGCCTCTCGTTAAAAGAAGTCAGTCCTTTCTGGAACAAAGCCAGATGCCTGTACTTGTGTGTTTTCTTAAAATAAAAATTTTCTGAACTATCATGGCACTGTCTTCAATCAATTCGAACTAGACATTCTTCACCCCAGAGTCCATAAGTAGAGTGATTTCATTTCTAAAAGCTGCACATTTATGCTTTTCTACTAAATGTACAGTAGGGCACTTGTGTTTGACTGGAATTTCCATACAAGTAGATCAATCTCATTAGGTCTTAGGGTTTCTGAGGTCTTCACTTTGAACGGTGTAACCACAGTTCTCTTGAGCAGATGTCTTGTCACAATAGGCATTGTGAAAGATTTTAGGGTTTAGGGAAATTTGTTAAATGAAATTACATCTGAGGGCCATAACTACTATATTTATTAAAGTACATAAAATTTAAAAGTACATATACAGTAATATTACTAAATGACTTGTGGGAAAATAATATTTCCCAGGACCCTGGAGGTGTGGGGCTGCAAGACTAACTAACCCACCCATTACAATAACACCATAGTAATTAAAAATGCAACTTTGAGGTTTTAGAACCAATAGCATTTATTGCATTTAATATCCCTCACAATTTAAACTTAATACATTCCAACTATTATTCCATGCTTACATGTACTGTACTTCTGGACAATATATAAATGATCAATGAGAAGAATTAGTAAGAGGCCGAGAACATTACTTTGTGCTTCAAAGGTTTCTAACACCTCTGCACCTCGTAACTGGTATCAGATTGGTGAAAAGTTGGATAAAAGGAGGGGTGTTCCGAAATTCCTCAAAAGTAAGGAGAAGTCTTTCCTACGTCAAAGGTGTCAAAGGATTGTCAAGAAGTTATGGTGCAGCTGCTGTCCCACTCACCATGTTGACTTCATCTTCGCCATTGTCATCTTCACTCTGGGCATCATCCAGGGAGAACTGGGGCACTGTGGCTGTGGGGGAGGTCTTGCCATTGCAGTCCTGGCGCTCAGGGAGTGGGGGGCGGGTGCTATGCAAACTAGCTGAGCGGCAGAGGTAGTGTGGCACCTGCAGAGTGTCAGGCGGTAGTTCGAAGGAGCTCTTGGTCTCCAAGGACTCCATGCGGTGACGTTGTAGGGAGCTGCTGGCAGAGCCCCCATCACACTCTGAGCCCTCATCTTCCTCGGAGCTGGACTGCCCATCCCCTGAGAGAAGTGAGCGGCGCTCCCCGGACTGCCTCTTCTGCTTCTTCAGGCTGGGCGCCCGGCCAAGGCTGTTCCAGCTTGAACGTCGGCTGTTCCAGCTGCTGGCTGTGCTCCAGGGAGCGTAAGGGGAGCTTCGCGCGCTGGACTGCAGGGACATGGAGACACCCATTACGCTGTGTTTCCCGAGTTAATAGTCACAAATAGGTGGAAGCTCACCATTCCCAGAATGTAATGGGTAAAGCAAGGACAGTCTTGTATTAATGTAACAAACACGGTCCTGTCATCAGGTTTCAATACCATTCCCTACAGGAACCATTATTTTCAGTGACGAGTTAGCTATCCATCCACTGAAGTCATTATGGCAGATCAAGTTAAAACAGATCACTGGTGTCAGTACGGCTCCAAGTGCAAAACTCTAATAAACTCCAAAGACAGTGTGAGGAGGAAAGAATAGGATACAAAAGGCTTAGGTGGAGCTCAGTTGCCCAATGGCAGTAGGGTTACACACACTTACTGTATCTATTATCTGGAGAGCTATCCATTGTGGCTACACAAATTGTAAAAGGGAATACAGTTAGCCTGTCGCCACTAGCTCTGATAATGTGACAAAGCATCATTTCTAATAATGGGCTGTAAAAAAACCCAGTGTTTTCTTAAAATGTGTAGTACTTCTACTTTAAAATATAGCCTTCTGATCACTGAAGACGTAAAAAAGTGATATGGGTCTTGTCACTCAATGAATGCATAACTTTAGGTCCATAAGGGTCTTCTTGATTTGATTCTTATTTACAAAACTGAGCCATACATTGAGTTCACCCAATTCTATCCCCTTTTCCCCATCAAGAAAGCACTGATCAATGACATTTGATAACCTGCTAGAGCTAAAATGTAGGCCTTGAGTTAAACATTTAGCTACTTTTGGTCTGTATAAAGATTCCGTACTACTCTATAACTGTTCTATTCATTTACCGAAGAGCCTTCTAAAATTTATTTTAATGTAATATGGACTGACATTTAATTTTCTTTTAGAATAGTTTTAGGAATGACAGGTTATAAACAGATGTTTTTTGAGGTTAAACAATAATTGAACATTAGTGCCAGCTGCATAGACATTCTGCAGTAGTTATCAACTGATTTTGCAGCTGTAAGAGCTGAAAATTTAGAAGCTTCTAAATTTGACTCTTAAGATCCTACTAAATTGCTCACTTCTGACACATTTCCAACATACATGAAGGGTTACATAAGAAAGAATCATCCTCTAATTGTATGCCAATAGGCTAGAATCAAGTGTCAAAACAACAGGCTATTTATCTGAATACTTTACCCAAACCATACTTCTTCAACATCTGTATTCGATGTTGCTGTTACATTATTCTTGTCTTACTTACATTTCTTCCAACATTATATTGTAAAGTTTTAACAACCATTTATAAATGAAACATAAACTACTTCCCATTATCTCATGGAAGAGTGTGTGTGTCAACATTCCTCTAAGGTTAAAAGTTTTACAGTAACTTCAGCCCAAAGGGAAAGACAGCTGGGTCTGTTCGTACTGTAAAACTTCTGTGTTGTGCTACTTTTGTCATCTGTTTTTACATTTGTTACAGAGCCTTCTAAAATGTATTTTAATCCAATACTGTATAAACTGCCATCACATTGTGTTTCTGTCTCATTGTTATAAAAGAAAAGTAAAATAAATTAAATTGGTGTCCTCAGATATCTGTCATTTATCTGAGGTTTTGTGTTTTCTTTAAGGAAAAAAGGAATATACTTTGTATACAGTATATAAAAAATATAGCTAATCCATTTATGTGACAAAATTTGAGAGACGTTTAGGAATCACAAGTATAAAAAAAGATCCTTCACCATTACCAAATACATTTAAAACCCCTAAGACCATATTCATGATTGTGATAACTGTATAAGTAAAATAATGTACATGTTAAGAAAACCTGAAAATTTGGTTTCCCTGTGGTTGAGTGTAATTGTTATAACTGCTATAAAGAGTGGGATCATTATTTTTAATTTTTCCCAGAACTCTGTGCTACCCTGCTGTGAAACCCACTTCTAAAAGAACACCACCACTGCCCTGCCATACAGTACATAAATCCCACTGTAGTGACTACTTTCAGGTCTTAAATTCTACTTCTGGCACACACTTGCTAACAGGTGTACTGCTGCTGTCCTACTGCAATACATACAGGTGCAGTATCATGTATACTGCATTATGTCAGTTGTTGCATTGCATCTTATACTTTGTAAGTTACACATACAGTAGCAGTATAGACACTATTGAATGTAAAAGCTTAATGCTGTAATTCCTTTTAGGCATTTTTTTTTTCATTTTAAGTTACCATTGGATATGAATAATATCAAATGCATAATAAATTTATAGTAATATGCAGTGAAATAATGAAATATATCAAAATACATTAGTCTTACATCATTTGAGCATCATTTGTACGTGGAAGTCCTCCTCTATCCTTTGCCAAAGAGTTTTAGTGAGTGAGAAGTGACCAGATTCAGCCTGCCCATGCTAGAGGAGATGCAGTGTATAGGTGTGCAGAGAGCCAGCTAATGTCACTGACCGGCGACTTGATGTCATAGCAGTTGGGGTCCATGGAAGAGCTGCTGCCACGGCGAGACTCATGCCCTAGAGCTGGGTCTCCAAACCCAGAGCTCTTGGGCACAGGCATGGGAGTGGCAGCTGTGTGGGTGATCAGAGGGGGTGTCAGACTGTTCTTCATCTCCACGTGACCATTAATGGGCACTACTGGAGGCAAAGATATCACATTATCAATTGTGCAATTACAGACCTCACTGAACAGCAGGGGGTTTACTAGCCTTCTAATTTCCCTATACACTGTTCATACAATATAATGACTGTTTACATAAATGGCTGT